GAGAAACATTCCTAATGCTACTAATTTGGCCGCTACCTCTTCGTACAAAGTCACCCTGACTATCACACGGTTTATACCATATTAACTATGTACATAGTGAGTTCTTAAAGCTTATACAAAACGCTTGGTGAGGTAATAATTAATACTGTAATAATATGTTATGTTATAAGGTTAGGATTTTTGTGTTATTTATCATAGCATCCACCCCCACATATGTTTAAGTTTATAATCCAGACAAAGGATGGGTACCTCAGCTTGTTGTACTAATAAAACAAAAAAGATATTCATACGACAGATAAAGTATGCTGTAGCTTTACTTATAGTTCGAGGCTAATAAGTTGGTTACATATAAACTTATCTGGTTGCTGGAGAAGAGAGATAAAGTCTACACGAGATGAAAACACGAACCATAATAATTTAGGTCAAATCAAGACTCTAGTGTGGTATCCCATGTTCATTCCCATTAAGCATATTCAATGGAGATAAGATTTCAACTCACACTAACTTCTAAAAGTTTCTTTGCTACCCCAAGAAATGAGTATGACTTTACTCAAAGAGGCATGGCACAGAAACAAGGTCAATTAAGTATGAATACTATTAAACAATCATTATTATATATAACTGTGTTTAAATTTCGGTTAATAAGGATATCAATTAGTACATGCAGAACTATTGCATAAGAGTTTAAAAAACAAATTTACCCGTGTAAATGGAAGGGTAACATTTGATGCCATTTTCAATCACCACACACTTGAATGGTATGTTGATTTTGTATCATAATTTTATCAGGAAGTGCGGTAGCCATCCCTATGTAGGGATGGGTCAGGTTATAAATGGCTGCCTCAACATTACGTATAGTAGCGCCTGAGCCAGCTTAAGAGATAGAGGCGAAAAGCCCTTCACTAATCAAGTAAAAAACTGCCTCTGAAGTTCGGATAACCTTCCCTGACGTCTAGAAAAAGGGCCGCAAAAACATTGATTTTCTTCTTCTTCTTTCTTCTACTTCGTCACTGTAACTCGTAAACCACAGTGTGCTTACGATCAACCTGCACACCAAAATACTTCACTACACACAGTGTGACTACTTCCAACCTGCACACCAAAACACTTCACTACATACAGTGTGACTTCTTCCAACCTGCACACCAAAACACTTCACTACACACAGTGTGTACTACTTCCAACTTGCACACCAAAACACTTCACTATACACAGTGTGACTACTTCCAACTTGCACATCAAAACACTTCACTATACACAGTGTGAGTACCTCCAACCTGCACACCATAACACTTCACTACACACAGTGTAACTACTTCCAACCTGCACACCAAAATACTTCACTACACACAGTGTGACTACTTCCAACTTGCACACCAAAACACTTCACTATACACAGTGTGTTTACGACCAACCTGCACACCAAAACACTTCACTACACACAGTGTGACTACCTCCAACTTGCACACCAAAACACTTCACTACACACAGTGTGACTACCTCCAACTTGCACACCAAAACACTTCACTACACACAGTGTGTTTACGACCAACCTGCACACCTAAACACTTCATTACTCCCTAACATGTGCCTTTTCATACCTAGAGCAACAAGTGATCCACAATAGGCTAGTTTCAGGCCAAAGTACTAACTATGGTCTCTAATCAGTAAACCATGATTTGCGTTATATGGAAGTAGATAATCTACAGTATACTCCTTACTGCGCCGCGCAGTATCCTGGTCATGACTTGTCTTGCTTCAAGAAATAACGTCTATAAATTATATCATGGTTATTTATAGAATATAACTGAAGAATTTGGTGAAGTGGTACTGTCCACATAGAAGCTACAGACCCACTGGAAGCCAAGACTTCGCCTCGTAAAAATTGTTGGGATGTAGGGATGAAAAAAGATCAGAAAGTAGTGAGCATTTGGGATGGGAGTAAAATCTGCATTAATTATTCCTGTATTCCATCACCTAATGTATATATGTATCCACCCTGTGAGTGTAGTGAATGAGTTGTGGAATGCAGGAATGGGTAATGCAGATTTTCCTCCCATCCCGAATGCTCTCTAGTTTTCTGATATTTTTCCATCCCTGCATCCGAACAATTTCAGAATACATTTTTTGCTACTTATCTTACAATTGACAAAATGGATCGTGTTATAAGTCCTCAGACTTTACAGCTGAGACACCGGGGACCACTTCAGTGTTACTTTCTACAATTCTTAAATTTACGATCCCTGTATGTGACATGGAAAGTAGGCATATCATTATAGACATATACAAAAAGTAGTGCTAATTTTGTATATTTTAGGTAGTTATCAATATTGTAGCCTTCAAGTTTATTTTAATTTTAAGTTTCCTTTTCTTACAGTTTAACTTCAGCTATTGTTTGCCTTCACTTCAGTGTTTGTTCGTTTGTTGTTAAGCGCAAGGCTACTCAAGGGCTATTTGCGCTAGCTGTCCCTAATGTACCGGTGATAGATTAAAGGAAAGGCAGCTAGTCAGCACCACTCGCCGCCAACTCTTGGGTTACTCTTTCACCAATTAATAGTGGGGTTATAACATTATAATGGCCCCATGGATGAAAGGGCGAGTCAGTTCGGTGACGGTAATTCGGACCTACTACACGCAAGTTGCGAGAAGCATCTTAACAACAAGGCCATCCCGGGCCACAGGTATCCGAACCCGATTTTTGCCGTTATAAGCTCTAAGACTTACCGCTGAGCCACCGAGGAGGCTGTTTTAGTGTTACTTTCTTCTCCGATATTTTTGACATTATGTATTTTATTTTGTTTAGTGTAGTAATAGAGTTGTTTTCATTTTTGTTGCCTCTTTCACTTCTTTCTTACTGACCGAATCATTCGAATCACCTGGATACAAATTATCCATTGGTTAATTATTCGTAATTAAGAATACAACAGTGGCACAAAACTTATTTACTTAGGGATAACTTCAGATCAATAATGAAGGTCACATCTCAGTACATTATCCATGTATTCAGAATATAAAGATATGTCATCTCCAAATAAACTAGTAACTATATAACAAACCGATAAATCATTTTCGAACTTCAAATGTCAAATGTCTTATTTCGCAGACAAAAATGATATGAAAATGAATCAAGTTTCATTTATAGTTTAGCAACTTGGAAAATTCGATAACTATGTGAATTACATTACCATACATCCTGAGAGAAACTGAGTCAGAAATAAAAGCACCAAACCTTTCAGGGCTTGCATTCTGACTTTTAACTAATGTCACATATATGATGCCTTACTTGAAACAGAGTATATGCCATGGCGACACTGTCGGTTCCTTTGGAAACCTGCCTCTCAGTTTCGTTGTTAAAAAAAAAGATATCTTGGTGTAATTTTTATATCATCTTCAATAACAGGAACTAGAAAATTTATATACCTGATATATATATATATATCAATACGAGTATTTTAACTGCACTGGCTAAGTAGGAATGAAAGTGTTACGAGTTTTACTCTTGCTGGTAGATGATTAATAAAGAAAGAAGAAAGACCTTATAACTACAATTTACTCTCCAACATTTCTTGACACAGCTTCGTGTGGAATAGAGGTTATGCACAAGCTGAGTTAGAACCGAAAATACACAGATTTATTGTTTTTTAACTTCAGGACATTAAATACCAAACTTATATACAGCAACATTATAATATTCTTGTAATATCCACTAACATATATTGTCCATTACTCTTATTGTTATGGCAACAAATATTGAGTGCGAAATAATATATAATAAATACATAAGTAAAAACACATTATTATTCTCTGATTTAACAATTTATATTCATTACATACATTTTACTTACTGCTTGAATTTAACTATAACACGAAATATGACTTAAATATATTTAAAACCACACACAGTATCGTTCAGAAATAACTGAAACGCCCATAAAAGTATTCTGGTTAAGTAAAAATATTGAAATTAAGTTTATGATTACGAAGTAATTTCTATAGTCAGTATATTCGGTATCTTATGCGATACGTGGGCTAACCGGCCAGATCAGAGGTTTCATCCAAAGTTCAGACATAACGATTTTTAACTTAGAATTGCTGCCCAGAGGCAGGGCAACCAGTCAGCGGCACCTGCCGCCTACACGGTTCCCTTAACTGACAGTCATGGTTATGAGATCCCCTAAGTTGAATGTGTGAAGGGTACTCAATAGCACATCGCTGCTCGAACCTTGAACCTTTTTGAACTGTAACTTGGAAAGCTAACTACTAAGCCACGCTTTGCCAAAGTTATTTTGAACTGGTTCAGAAACTCTGTTATTCATATTAGGTATATCTACTTATAGACGCATATAAAGTTAATAATATTGCTAGCAAAGTATAATTTTACATAAAAAATAGTGGCGTAACTAAAATTAATCCTAGTTGTAGCAACATCATTGGAACAAAAAAGTTCAGAACACAACTTAGTAACAGAAGAACTTCAGCTTTTATCATACAATTGACATAAATTATCTCTTTCTTCTGATAACCGCTTCATGCACAACTGTATAGAGATACCACATAAGTAGCTTTATCCGCTTTATTGTACTGATTACAAAAAGATACATAATACTAACCATCCTAGCCTTTTTAACACATTTCAAAAGAGTTGACGGAAAAACATGTTTCTCAGTTTGACGGCGGACAGTTTTCAATATATGAATTATTCACCTTACATAAAACCGAAACACCTCATTGGCTATTTTCACGAGGCCATTAAACCACCCACAGCTTTAAATGCGGAGGTAAATGTATAGATAGATAAAATTCTGAAGAATACACACATATATGGGTTCGCATACTTAAATTTATTTACGCACATTTTTAACCTCGTATGCTATCCTAAAATTCCCACAAATAAAGTTATTGAAAAAGATAACAGAGTTAAACTACATCAAAAATGTATAAAAAGACTGCTGGTTTATTCATAATTATGGAACAGGAAAAGCGAATGTTATGCTATTGAAACCGGATATTGTTACCTCACTTCCAGGAAATTAAATGAGAGTAAACTAAATAAATACAGTTCAATGCTGGATTCTACTAGACACAAGGAAAATGATGGAGAAGAGAAAGGTTCTTTTTCTGGTAAGTATCAGTTGCGTATGATTATATATTATTTCAGGAAAAGCTGAGAATAGCAAATAAAAAAAATATGCCTATAAATGATCGTTACGCCATACTTTGAAGACGTTTTTCGTTCATTTTTCTAAATTATTTTATTTCTGATTTACTATTCTAATTACCGAGGATTTTCTCTCAGATTTTACAATTATTATTCTCCGAGTGACCCGGAAGAACTACGATATGCCCAGGGCGCACCGTATATGAGTTGATGGGACACTATGGGGCATAACGGTGCCCAGGCGCATTGTGCAAATCTAATTACCTCTTTTTTCAATCATTTGATAGTGAGAATCATATTGAGTACAATAATCAGATTTAAAATTAAATTTACCCTTTTTCAATAAGTTAATAGTGAGAACCATATTGAGTACAAATTTAAAATAAATTTACCCTTTTTCAATAAGTTAATAGTGAGAACCATAAGTACAATAATCAGATTTAAAATTAAATTTACCCTTTTTCAATAAGTTAATAGTGAGAACCATATTGAGTACAATAATCAGATTTAAAATTAAATTTACCCTTTTTTTAGTAATTTAACAATGGGAAACAAATTGACTGAATAACCAGATTTATAACTAAATGTATCATTTTACTAATTGCACGTTGAGTACTGACTCAATTGAATTTATTGAATGTTTTTCGTTATATTCAGTTTATTTTGTTCTCTGCGTTGGAGCTTGGATGCTGCAATATTTCTCGGAAACCAATTTCAGATCAACCCACTCCTGAATGTTTACAGCCTTTCAGCGAAACAGTACGAGATATCTGTAACAAAACAAGTAACTATCCAATGTAGGTATCCATATATTATATATCAACTTGAAATACACGGGGGAAAATATTAATCATAGAAAGATAATAAAACACAGGAAAAGATAGATGAAGAGATATTTGCCGATTTAATTTGACATCTAGGATATAACGATAGGAGCATAAACTTTACCTGTGATGATATAAAGGTGATTGGGTCAACAGGTAACTAATTATATACATAGAAAGGCTTTTCATTGTTTAAGTAAAAAGACAACCTGAGCTGCTTGTAACGTAGAATTTGTGTGATATCCTTTTTGGTACATAATGAACGATTGTTGCTTGGAAGTATCATACTATTTAATGGGAGTGTTGGTACACAAGATTAAATACATAAAATCAAGTATTAACCAAGTTACAATATTAAAGACTCTTATTTTAGGGCTGGTTTGGCTTTTATTTAGCTTTCCGTGTTGAGGATCCGAAGTTCCAAGGTTTATACCTATGGATAACTATATTCTAAATATACGAGTTTTCGTAAATCATTTCCAGTCACAAATATAACGCTTTTGAAAACATTTTATTTAACAAATCAGTCATACTAACTATCACTGTAAGTTTTGAATGGTTAACGGTAGTCGTTGTGTCTTAGGGTTTATACCACGAATAGTGGATACGTTTTGAAACATAAATATATTCTGAGCACTTGACAAGTGTTCATTGACCCAAAGGCTGACCTAAACATTAACAATTAAGTTTAACCAACTAATTGGCTAACGGATTTCGTGTGTCACTGAACTTTGACTTTAATACTAAGAAAAGCGAGTTTATTGACTCTTCACTTTAAACAATTGTTTAGACTTTAGATTTCGAAAGACAGTTTTATTATTCTCCTCACATCGCAATAGAAATTACGTTTTTGCAATTTAAACGTCAAAGAAACTGTTGTAAGATTTACGGAAGTTAGTAATGCTCATTGCAGTAACAAAAATACGATAAGGTCATAACATGGCGCATTATTTTTCACTCGAATCACCTTTCATGTTTAGAACAACCACAAAGATTGTTAACTCAAGCTTATAACCAAATGTTCGAAAGAAGTAAATTTACTAGTCCACCAAAGCATCAAATAACCAATTAATTTTCCCATAATTATAACCCTAGCATGAAAGACAGTTGTTTATAATCAAATTTAAAGCTTGACGTTCGAAGATTAAGCAATCTTCTTTCACCCCGTGTGAAACTAAAGAATATATAATTTTGAGGGTTATTAGTCTATTCAAGCCAAGTGGGTGGATTCTAACTGAACTGTAGTTTTAAAAAAAATATTAAGGGTGGTAGGCAAACGTGAAGGCAAAGGGGAAGTCGAGGAAGGTTGGAGAACAAGATAAGTCGAAAACTGATTGCTGACAAAACATCGAAACAAACGGGCCTTTTTAGGGCTTGGCATGGAACAATACACCCAAATGCCATGGCTGGAATCTGTAGTTCCAATGTTCACTAAAAAGTGAATTAAAGTTATACATAAAATTTAACAGGTTTAAGTTTGAAGATCACAGTAGAAGGTTAGTATTGTCATGTATCAGGTTGAATGCGGACAGGTATTTGCACCAATATTTGGAGGTAGCAGAGATTGTATGAAAATCAGATGTTAAGAAGTTTCGTTTAGTTATGCGTTCTTGCACTGTTTGTAGTGTGGTGTGTTTTTTCAATTACTTTTGTAATGTAAGGAACTGAGATTGATTCATGTTGCATGTTATCATAGAGTCATAATCAATTAAGAGTCTAATGAATGTTTTGTATATATAAGTTATTATTTGTGGTCTACATCCGTGAGTCTGATGGTTTATTTTCTGAAGGTATGCTATTCTGGTTTAAGATTTTTTGCTGATATCCTTGAAATGTGTATGACAGATTAGTTTCGAGTTGATTGTTATTGTTATACCTAAAAATTTTGCACTTTTAGAGAATGTGATGGAGGAATTATAAAGGTTACGTTTAGGTAATTTGATACGTTTTAGTCTTGTATTTAGCCTACGGAATAGGATAATTGCTTGAGTCTTAGTTATATGGGTCTTGTATTTAGCCTACGGAATAGGATCTGCAAAGAAAGCTCGCAACAAAATTACATAACTGTGCAATAAATGGAGAATAATACTGAATCCCACTAAGACTCAAGCAATTATCCTATTCCGTAGGCTAAATACAAGACCCGTATAACTAAGACTCAAGCAATTATCCTATTCCGTAGGCTAAATACAAGACCCATATAACTAAGACTCAAGCAATCCTCAAGAGGTGCTATGTCATCTACGTGTTGTGAGGCATGTGTGAAAGGTGCGGTTGGCCTTGTCAGATCGTTAACGAAGAGTGTATAGAGTAACGAGCTTAGAACAGACCCCCAACTTCACTAAATGTGAAGGGTTGGGATAAGGTGGTGTTAATTTTAACTTTTGCAGACCTGTTTTATAGGAAATTGGATATCCATTTAATGAAAGTAATTGGTATTTTGTTAGCTTCTATTTTTTTTACCCTTCGTACTGGCACATTTTTGAACTATCTGTTCCTTGCGATAATCTGTGGAACTATCCACCTATGACGTCACAGGTCGTAAGACTGTCCTCCCCTTTATAGGTGGCCATTTTGTTAACGATACGGACACCCTATAACTCATGTATTTAATCATACCGAAACGAATTTCAATGGTTGATTGCTGGTTCCACTAGTGGAAGTTCGTGATTATATTTTACATTAAACTTTTTTTTTGTTACAATAGAGCGTAGTCAGTGGACAACTGCACTTAGATTATTTGGAATCAGTTTTAAAATTGTGTGTGTAATTATGAACGAGATATCAACACATTTAAATTTTGGAACAAGGATGTCAAAGGTAAAAGTTATCAGAACATTTTTCAATTTTTCTGGTAAGAAGAACATTTTTCTAATGTAATCTGATTTTATTAATCATTTCGAAATGTGCAGAATATGTTGATAAATTCGTATATTGTGATCTTATAGCAAACAAAAATGTAAATACTTAAAGAGAAATCAATATAACATGATTTGTATAGGATTTAAAACATTAAATATTTTAAGAAAAATAACTTTGTTAATGTAATGTTTTTATTAGGAAGGAAATTGCCTCTTTGTTGAAAGAATCACCTCTGAAAGTCATGTGTAACTCGTTAATAAAGAATATTGCTCCCATACAAACATTAGCAACAAAGTCAACAAAGGAGCCTGCTTGTCTTTCTCGTACTGTGGTAATCACACCCAAGGCTGCAAAGACCTTGCAAGGAGATTGGGTCTACGTAGTGAATGTTGACTCATGCCAGCAATTTTTTTGGGGGGAAGTATGTGAAAGGTAAGTTTTTTCTTAAGAAACAAGTTTCAGGAAGAAATGTGCAAATCATTATATGTAACTTAAAACGAGCCCAAGGTGATTGGAACATAGCCTATTTCTTTGCTACTCGTCAACATAATATTATTTCAATTGCACTGTTCAGCTTCGTATTAAGATATTAAGAAGTTACTTTCGTGGTTAAAATCACGGCATAGATAACTTATTTTTCCACTGCACTTCACACATTTTAACTTTTGCTTTTATTATGGAAAAAAATAAGAGAGAAGTTTTATTTAAAATTTCAACTTAAAAAATGTGAAACTTGAAAAGTTCATGCATTCGTATCAAACATCACATTACTTTATCAATATAACAAATTGACCGTCCTCCGATATGTTAGCAATAACTTTATTGATTAAGAACACTAAAACCCGAGGTTCGATTCTCTGCGATGTATATACCGCAGATAGCTCCTTATGTAGTTTTGCGTTAAAACAAACAAAACAAACGGTTGGGAGGGCCTGGCATGGCCTAGTGGTTAGTGTGCTCGACTAACAATTTGAGGGTCGCGAGTTCGAATCTCTGTCTCACCGAAAATGGTTACCTTTTTAGCTGTGGGAGCGTTATATTGTGACGGTCAATTCCACTATTTGTTGGTAAAAGAGTAGCTCAAGAGTTGGCGGTGAGTGATGTTGACTAGATGTCTTTCCTCTAGTCTACATAACTGCTACATTATGGACAGCTAGCGCAGATAGCACTCGCGAAATTCAAATCAAATCAAACCTGAAGGGCAGGTGCATGTACAATCAGAAGTCAGTCCGTTCTCGTTTTAGGGGTGATACATGAAAATCGTTTTTGTTGATTTAAAACGGTATAATTAGATCAAGTACGTTGCGCTTATATGTTCTTGAATGACATATGTCAACGAGTTAAAGTGTTGTATCTAATATGTTTTATGTAAATATAATTCCGTCTTGGAAAACAGAACATACTATAATTCACTTTGTTAATTAGTAGATTGATTGTACAACTCTAAAAGTGATAACCGTGATTTCTTTGCGAACAATTTCCAGAATTTATTGTAGAAATTAGTAGATACACAGGCCTGCGAATTTAAACTTCATAAAAGTTGTTTTGGTTTTAATAACGGATTTTCCATAATTCAGCTATATAGA